ACAAATCAAAGGACTCTTTCTATACAAACCAAATGATAATAAGTAACGGGCAAAGTAAGAGTCAACACATTTCTTTGAAATTAACAAAAGAATAATGTTATGTAATTTTACCTTTGTTAATTTCAAAGAAATGTGTTGACTCTTACTTTGCCCGTTACTTATTATCATTGGGTCGTACTTTTATACACGGTTGGGCCTATTATTAAAATTTTTTTTACTTAATAATTGACGGAAACGAATATAATTAAAACTCATTTAATTAACGGTAAATGTTGAAAATAACGATCCCACCTCCGATTTAGATCTTGACATAAATTATCATGGCCCTGAATAATCTTCGAAAGGTTTTAGTCCGCGCTTATTATTTGTTCAAAATTTATATTTACAAATAAAGTTGCCAATATAAGTGTGTATATATTTAACCATATAATTTAAATTATAATTATCATAACTCAATATTTCCACCTCCCCTCCAACTACGGGGCGTACAGCTTTCTATGAAAAGCGAGGTCCACTCCACCTCCCCTCCTCTACCTAGAGGTGCTTAGGAGCCGAGCTAAAACCTTCCGAGGATCTCAGGCCATGATCTTGACGATATATGTCAAGGTCAACAGAAGAGTCCGATATTTTCAATATTTACCTTAATTTTTTCAAAACTAGTTAATAATATTAAAATTAGAAATAGAACTGTTTATATAAATAAATCAACTAAATATAAATCAACTAATAGAAGCGGAAATTACTTCAATCAAAGTTAGATATTAAGATTAATACATATATATATATATATGTATGTCGTAAATCAATTTTTTATATATGTGTTGTAAATAAGTTATCTCAGAAATATGATTGCGTGCTGATTATTTTGTACTTTCAATACAATCAATCTGAAATACTAATAATCCTTCTAAATTTAATTAGATCGTTGATTTGATGCTATTAACATTTTAAAATTTGTAAAAAAAGCTCATTATGAAAAATATTACTTTGGCCAGGATTTGAACTTGGATCTCCCGTTGATATTCCATACGGGCAGCTCTTCACTGTTAAAACTATACCAAAGTCTTGACAATATTTTTGGCAATAACTAATATATATAGAGAGCGCATTGAAAAGCAGCGTATATAAACAATGTTAAGATTCGAGACAATAGCTAATAATTTGTTTAGACATGAGTAGCAAATTGAAAATTAAATATGACAGTTATACGTTAAAAAATCATCCCGTAATTTAATAACAATTATTTGATTATCTGGAGAAATTTATCGAACAATGGTCATTTGGCTAAATAAGTACTATGATACACCTTTAAATTGATAACAAGTTGATTTCTCGCTCGACAAATTAATTTCAAACTAAATTTTCACAATGATTTTAATGACGCTAAATAAATATTAATATAATTTTATCTAAAATATACGACTATAATTTACGTGGGAAAGAAAGCATTCATTGTGATCAATCGAGATTAGAAGTCATAATAACTGATATTAAACTCAATCTCGCTTCAAAACACTCCCGTCGCATTCTTTTCATTGCCATCGCTGAAAAATCACTCGCAATCTCACTTCCTGTAATTTAACAATAAGTGTTGTTTCGATCGTTTTTATTGATATTAATAAAGAACATGCCGCCATATTACAACTCGCATCTAGTCGAACATATAAAACTAATCGAAAAAAGGAAATCGCTCACACACAATACATCCATATATTTTAATTATATCTCATTTTTAATTCGATACTCAAACCTACTTTCAAGACAAACCTACTTTCAAGACAAACCTACTTTCAAAGAGTCACCAAGATAAGAAATATTGAGAAAGACGATGATCCTCAATGTTGAAAGAAATTCGAGCTTGTTTATACCGCTTGTTTTTGACGCCCATTACTCGTTACTTTTCAAAACGTTCAAGTTTCTTGGAAACATTATACCAATCGCACCTTGCGTGTGGCAGCTATTTTTTTCTCTGTTTTTTTTTACCGAGTATTTGGGAGGTTAATTTCGAAAGGGCCTAGCGGAGACGTGAGAATGCGCGTTCCCACGCAAGAACTTGGCCCTTTCTCTCTTCTTGGATCCTCTCATCGCGTCCGGCTTGAATGATGTCTGAAAGACGTCTGGCGGACACCGTGTATTTTTCCTTTCGCCGCGTCGTTCTCTCGCGATATCTTATGACGAAGACCATCGTAAAATTGAACGTGAATCGACGCGCGTGTTGCCGTAACGATGTTTATCGCTTTGATATTCGCTCGCGGTGCGATAACGCGGCTATTTTTAGCATTTATTACGCACGCGTACGCGCCACACAAGCGACCACTTATCGCTCACTCATTTGAGACTTTTCTATTTTTTTCTCTTTTCATTTTTATATTCCAACTTTTCCAACTTTTATCTCCTCATCGTCACGCCCAAGTTTAGGGATTTACTCAGAACATTCGAAATCTTGATCCGAATTAGGACTCGCAGAGGAAAATCAGTAATCACTCATACCTAATCACTCCGTTCGTGGCATCTTTTATCGCTAGAGATCCAAGTTCAAACTCGGTTCACACACCGCTACGCAATTATTGTGGACTACATTGCCAATATATTCGTAAATATTATATGTTGCAAAAAAAAAAAAGAAAAAAAAAACAGCGTTTAGCGAGAAACTTTTTATTCCGGTTATCATGCTAAAAACTACTGGTTTACTTCAGTCACTGATCGCACTTCTGATTTGAAAAATTCTAAAATTGTTGCTCTATCGCAATAATTTATTGTGTCGCTCCGCATCGATCGCGATCGTCCAGAATAACGTCTTTATTCCGGAGTGCTCTTCTCGTTGAAATTCGTACGATCGCAACGGAATTTAATTCACAGGTGGGATATCCACGACGACGACGACGACGACGACGACGACGACGACGACGACGACGACGACGACGACGACGACGGTGCGGAGGCGGCGGCGGCGGCGGTAGCGGCGGCGACGCAGCGGAGGTGTGAGCGCGCGCGTGCAGGAAATGACGGCGGAGAGACGAAGAGAAGAAGAGGAGCTTTATATACGCTGCTTGGCACGGCAAAAGCAACGATCAGCGCTAAATTTAACTCGCACTGGAAGCGATTACGCGAGCCTGGGAGTGAAGCTGAGGTGAGACAAAGAGGGAGGAGACTACGACACGAGACCGACCGAGGAGGGGAACCGAGCGCGAAGAGAACGCGAAATTACCTGCTTGATAGATGGATCACGACTGAACGATCGCGACCACAAGCGATTCTGATAATTCCTCATCATTCGCGATGAGAGATGATGCAACGCGTGTCCCGCGGCGAGGCGCACCGAAGCGGGGAACTTGCGGATATTGGCCAATCATCAGTGACTTGTACTTGGCCATTCGTTCACGTGCTCGCCGTTCGACTCTACATCAATGTGAGCAACGAGAAAACCTGTTGCGAGTAACGAATAAATTAGGCCCTAAATAGAAAAACCCTAGTCGAGCGTATTCGTATTTGGTAATAAACGAAAGTTAACTTGCCGCTGAACAAGCGCAATCAGTGATGTAAATGACTAAGTGATAATAAACGAGATTTCTTATTACGTTTGTACTTCCGCATTTTTTACGGGATCATTACCGGAACCAAGTTAAATCGCCTCTCTGAGATTCTCATTTACAAATAGCCTCTACTCATATTCTAATGACAAGCATTAAAAATTTTTTCCCCTCTTTATTTAAGGTCTATCTATTATTCAATCTTGAATAACAATATTAAGTAAGAAATTGCTTTTTCTGTTTTCACTTTTTTTTTTATACGAAGACTGTATAATACAAATTTATATAATATAAGCTAAAGTTTAAAAGTTAAAGGTTAAGGGCTTGATATCTATTCAAAGTTTGATTTCTACTTCCTCTAAGAATATCTATCGAGTCAATATATGAGATCACTCTTTTCAATAAAACTTTTGTGTGAAAGAGATAAAAATCTTGAAATCGCGAATATATTATTCAAAATATCGTTTATTGTTCAAAATTCAATTATTAACTTTTATTGAAACGTACACATTCCTCTCTTACGCTGTTATATAAATCTGCTATCATGTATCTTTTATAATATGCATGACAAAGCTAATTAGCTGATATAACACAGAGGTAAAAACGAAGATTAAAGATAATCTTTTCTTCAATATATATATGACTTTGTAAGTCAATATAATTGACCGATTTTTCATAAAAATCAAATAAGTCCATTTCTTTTTAAATCTTGGTTATGGCACCAAATTCTCTATCAGTACAAAATTATCATTAATGATACAATTTTAACTGCAAAGTAAAAATTCTGATAGGTCCAATTTCATTCTGCTAGCTTTAAAGCACTCAAACGTTCTCTGTTTTGTTGTGACTTTTTCCAAAACAAAGATAAACAAATCTCTTAAAGAATTTTTTTTTTAATAAATAAACCAAACGTCTATTAAACTGCACAGTGACTGCACAGTGCGCGCACGCGTGTATAATAATCGTCACAGTGTAACTGCACAGCACACATGCAGATGCGTCCTCATTTGAGGTTTATATTGCCCGCACGCGTAAGTGCTGCACGTGCATGTACGAGCGATATGAGGCTCATGCGAGTGTGCCAATTGTGATTCGTATCGCCTGCACACACATACGTGCCGTATGTGTGTGAGCGATATGAATCTTATCTGAACTATTTTAAAATGTGTATTTCATTTACTTGGTGAACATCTAAAAAAAAAAGTGTTAGTTACATTTTAGTTTTCATCTTGGAGTCCTTGGGGCTCAAAAATTTATTATTTTATTAGAACACAACTGAAGGATCTTTTAATACTTTTAATATTGCGTCTCTTTTATTCTATTCTGTGTGGTCTTTTAAATTCGAGAAATTTAACTCGCTACGTCCCTCTGATGGTGATGTCGCGTACTGCTCGACAATGTACGCGAATTTTCTGTTCGAAATAGGCTACACATTGTATTTCTTAACTGATTTGAATGTTTCTTTAACAGAAATACTCGGAAATAAATTCTAAAGAGAAGACGATTTTTCATCGTGAGAGTCGATTTTTTGGAATCTTCCTCAAAGATAATAGGTCAAATATGTTAAATCGGATGATCTCGCAGGGAATAATACAGAATCATTTCTACCGATCTATTCGTTTGGGAACATTCGGTCGCCTACCTCTTCAGAAAACGTGATAGAAAGAATGAGAAATATTATTTGAAAAAATAACAATTCAAGAGTTAGAAAAAGAAAGTTTTTACAAAAGCTACAGGCATGTTTAGATTAACATGATGAATATTTTGTACATCTATTGCAATAATAAAAAAAATGAAACTTATAGACTGACTTCTTTTATATCTCGAAAATAGTTAAAATTTTCGAAAAAAATACTCTTATACAAAGATATTCAGCTCATTGAGTACTATCACACACACACACAATAGAATGAATATCCCTTCTAATTAGAACATTTTTTTGTATTGGTAGTAAAAAATCAAGTAAATTTAAAGTTATTCAAGGTCATCGAAGTATGTATATCTCATTATACTTATTCTACAATTTTGACAATAGGTATTTTCTCCCTACTTGTAATCCTTTTTTCGAGAAATATGTTTATCAAACTCACTTTTTATTAAACTCACCTATATATACAATATCTATATATGTACATGTAATAAATAACAAAGGTGCTCACCCTTTTGAGGCAGATGCGTGAAAGCGGATGTAATTTCAACGCTTCTATAGCCCACGTCTTCTGAAACAAATTACAAGCATTTTATAAAATCGATGATTATATACAAAAAGAACAATAAGACAGTTTTAGCTTATTGTCTCTTTAAATCTATACTAATCAGCAAATAAATGTTGCAATTCACGCAAGAAGGGCGAACATAAATAAATTATTGCATGTCGATTGACGTCAGTTTATTCAAAACATAGAAAAAGATGTTCTAGACTGGAATAAACTATTGTAAACTACTATGTCACAATTGATAACATTATCGCCGTCGCATAATCCTATTATGACTGATCGGATTATTTCCGAGCGTAAATTCCTGCAATCTTTTCGCACTTTTTTAAATCTCATCCTTCACGTATGCACCGATAATAAAATAAAAAGTCGGATCTCGATACAATGTTATTTGTATTCGATAAGAATGGAGGCCAAATCTCCTTTTATACGTGTATCTAAAATAATATCTGCAAGCAAAATTTCGAGCTTTTTGTTTAGATTTTGTAAGTTTTAAATGTTACTTTCAAAATGGGTAAAGAAGTATTTCCACAGATATAAAATATTTGCTTTTTCTTTTAACAAAATAATTTTCCTATATAATAAAATTTTTTACATTCTCTGTAAGTGGAAATTACAATAAACAAAATCTAAAAAAAATGAAATTCAACAAAAAGAACATCACATACTTTATAAAAAAAATTGCTTCAGTCAAAGTGACAGAAACTGAAATATGTTTGTGCCCCCCACATATCTTCGGAAACTCATGACGAATCTTTACTCTTGAGCCTGATAAGGGTCGGGAGTAGTTTCCAATGGAACGGAGAGGGCACAAAATTTGAAACTTCATATTTTGGCAGCACAAATTATAACATTTCTATTGTGTAAGTAGCGATTGATTCGGATCAATATATTAATTTTTTTTAATAGCACAAATTAGCATAAAATCAGTACTATTCAAATCTAATTTTCTTTTTCTTTTTTTTTCTTGAAGTCTTGCTAGCTTGATATTAAGCCACATGTTTTTTCTAAATAGTATATGGTACAAAATTGTTTTTTGTAGCACAAATTAGCACAAAAATGAGCACTAAATAGTTCAAAAGGTCTTTCTCGATCCTGCTCATTTGGTCCTGCTAGCTTGACAGAGGTTATGGAATTGCCTATGAAAAGCCTATTGACAGACTACGCTAGCAGATTACTGGCAAAAATCGAGCAGTCTGCTGATGCTCGAATCATATTCTGCTCGATTTCTGCTCTCAATTTGCCGTCAGGTTATGCAGGATTTTGTTCGGTTTCTGCCATCAATCTGCTGGCATAGCACGTCAAGCTTTATCATATTTCTGATAACAGTTTGCTGACTTTGTCAAATAGTACAAATTCTGTGTGCAATTTGTTGCCATTCTGCAATCAAAAATTGTTAACATGCTCTGCTTGAAAACTGTTTCCAGGCTTTGTTATTAGGGTAATGTCACAAAAAAGTAATAGGTCATTCTGAAAAGATATTTATGTGCATAAACTTACATACAAATTTTACTTCGAAAAGTAAACATAACGTCACCTTGTTTTCATTTGGCGAAAATACAACTCCTGATTTACTATCGTACGTTTTATACACTATTTCATTACGATATACACGTAGTTTTAGCATATTATCCAAATTATGCATATCGTGCATTGATATTTGTAATTTTGTGTGGGCCCTGATGAAGCACCCCAAGTTTTCGACATTTTTATTAAAGAACCACATTAAATTAATATATAAATGTTTAGAAAAAAAAATACATACATACA